TCCTGTAGGACATGTAAGTGTTTTTGTAGTAATGTCTTTGAAAGTTCAATGAGATACCGAAGTCCGTAACGCCTTATAGGCCCTTATAGACCTTTTCTTCGGCATAACGAATTCTAACAAATTCCTCCAAAATACTAGTATACCGCTTGCGTTCTTGGAACGTGTGTTGTATATACACTCTTAAAAGTTGCTGATGACAGACCCTCGTTGTAAACATTGCTTTTCAAACCATATATACATGTACGTGTAGAACTTGTCACCTCGATAGTGGCACTCAACTTTTGAGACCAGAAATTATGCTACACAAAGTTGTAGGTGTCATTTCTCTTGTCACAGCGATAACTGTGGAGTAGACAAGCTGTTTGTACGTACCTGAGTTGTCAAGAGGATAGAATCCCGACAAAAGTACGCTAAAACAGGACGAAAGATGAAGAGAAACCCTCGATATTCTCTCTCAGACCACGGCGCGTCCTGGTCCTGGTAGAGGCTACACGAGGCACAGGGGGTGTCAGAATGAGCTCCGCGGAGCTTGAATACATAATAAGGCAAAGCAGATGCAGTCACTTGTTTCTCGTCACCCCGCGACCATTTCGTTTCCTGGAATTCTGAGGATAATTCTAAGAATCGCAAGCCATTCACTCTATTTCCCATTATAAAATTTAGTGTTCTACTTTTCTATTGAACACTAAAACGTCCATAAGCTTTTAAAGAGTTACAGTAGGATGAATCATTAAAAAAAATCAAAAATTTCCTGGAAATACAGATACAATGAAAATAAAACAATCCGCATCTTCCTGGACCTCAGTAACCAAGGAGGCTATAGCTGCAAACACACAAACCTAACCAAAAACAGTATCCCTCTGCCGAAAAATATTCTTTCTTTTTGGGAGATAGTGTATGTTAGCATGATACTGTATAGAATTAGAAGCACTGAAAAATGGATGCCCTTGCGGTGTACATCTCCCTGCTGGTTTACAATCAGTATACTGTGAAAAAACATGTTCAGGGCTCTTTTGTCTGCTATTGAGTGTTTTGTTTCATACTATATGGTCACATAACAGCTTATTCGCCAAAATGATTATTTGTCAATAACAGAAATACTCAAGTACCCTGTAGCTGCATTTTCGTCATTTTTTACCGTGATTGAAATTACAAATGTATACTTAGACATAAACATCTCATGGGTAGATTGACACATCGTTTTTCTGACTTATAATGATTCCGTATGTTACAAGATTTTCTTTTTGATGCCCAACATCATAGTAATGATGACTCTGGCATGTCAGAAGTGTGCCATACGAGATTCAAGACAAATTCAAAACTAGGATTGAAAAAAAACTTTATTTGCAACAAACAAAACCGGATTGAGTACCAAGTATCAAATAAACGGACATTAACATACTAGCATACTGTAAATAATAACATACTAATTCAAGTTGAAAAAGTGGCTCATCTACATCGTATGTGTTCCTTCTATTCTTACAAAATGTATTGCTTTATCGAATACAGTAGAACACCTATAACTACTCTTTGTATAACCATCTACAATTACGAGCATGTGGACTAATTCTATCACCTATGGTTAACATTAGTCCAAAACAACAGGAAAAATAGTATGATAACAAATCTAAGGTAAATAAACATATAAAATATGGATAGTAATCCCTCTAAAAAAGAAACCAGCTTAGGTTCAACAATCAACATGCAAACTTTGGTTAGTTAAAACAACTTTACATCCTCATTATTTTCTATATCAGTTAAATTGCTAATGTTACACTATGAAATGCTACAAGCAAGATAAAAACTGCATGCAGCCCAATGTTTTTGATGAATCAAAACATTCTGTGAACGATGCTGTAGATTCTGAGTTAATCTATGATTTTCGCTAGAAGTTTGATTCCTCACTTTTACAATTACAAAAACTTTCAGTGAGACTCACTCTTAGTCACGACAGTAAAACTCACTCTTAGTCACGACAGTACCTGAACTTGAATTTCCATATCATTTTCTCAACCCAAAATATCTCAATTTTTTCCTGTAGGGTTTCACATGGTTTATCTTCTTTAGGCCATTACTGCCTGTGTGCCTGGTGATCTAAAACCTTATCACCGGAGAGTTTGCATGTGCCTTTTGCGATGACCCAGTAGTTTGAACAGTCTGATGCACACCATAGTATCTTCCCTGTCTTGACTTTGCAGGCTGGGCTTTACAAGACTAAAACTCGAGAACTCATTCATCGATACAGTCGTTTTGCACTCCTTTCACGTCTTGGGTCTCATAGAAGTGAGTCTGTAGGTGATTCTTTAGATGACCCAGTCTACTAAACTGTCTGCTGCATTCAATACACCTGTAGCCTAGGGTTTCTCTCCTGTGTGAATTCGCATGTGATTCTTCAGACTATCTAGCCTAATAAACTGCCTGCTGCACTCCTCACACCTGTAGGACTTCTCTCCTGTGTGAATCCGCATATGTTTCTTCAGAGTACCCAACTCACTAAACTGCCTGCCACACTCCTCACATCTGTAGGGTTTTTCCCCGGTGTGAGTTCGCTTGTGTCTCTTCAGATGACCCAGCTCACTGAACTGCCTGCTGCACTCCTCGCATCTGTAGGGTTTCTCCCCTGTGTGAGTCCGCATGTGTCTCTTCAGATGATCCAGCTCACTGAACTGCCTGCTGCACTCCTCGCATCTGTAGGGTTTCTCCCGTGTGTGAGTTCGCATGTGTCTCTTCAGATGACCCAGCTCACTAAACTGCCTGCTGCACTCCTCACACCTGTAGGGTTTCTCCCCAGTGTGAGTGCGCATGTGACCCTTCAAATGACCCAGATCACTAAACTGCCTGCTGCACTCCTCACAAATGAAGGGCTTCTCCCCGGTGTGAGTCCGTATGTGTCTCCTTAGATTACCCAGCTGACTAAACTGCATGCTGCACTCCTCACACTTGTAGGGTTTCTCCCCAGTGTGAGTCCGCATGTGACCCTTCAGATGAGCCAGATCACTAAACTGCCTGCTGCACTCCTCACAACTGTAGGATTTTTTGCCAGCTATCCTGTTGGCAGGTCTCCTTTCTGATCCTCTGTTGATGTCATCAGAGCCACTGCTGTTTGTTGCCATGATAAAAGCTGAATTCACCTCTGTGGTCATGGAAAATGAAGATGAATTAATTTTAACACAGTTACAGCAACCCATTTATCATAATCAGACATTGAAGATGAATATACACTGTTCCAAACTCTACATGTACATACAAGGCCTACTTGTAAAAGTTGATGCACACTGTAGTGCAAATAATTTCTATTTTTTTTACACTCTGTCATACCTGGGCCGCGATTACGTTCGATATGGGCGTTCCAGACCAGGCCGTACATATAGAATACAACACGGTGTATTCCGTATATGATGCGGAATACACCGTGTTGTATTTTATTTATGTCATACCCACCCAAGAAAACACGCCTTTCAATGCAAAATGAGCAGAAAGTCGGTGTCCCTAAACCCAAAAAGTGCAACAACATCAATTCCAACGTCCGAATTTTGCATTCGAATTTTCGAAAGCGTTGCACGCGGTTAGGGCGAAACGCGTTCGAATCGTTCTGTGGAACATTTGGAAGCCCCGGGCCGTACGCGGTAAGAACCCCCGGGCTGTACCGCTAGTTATCACACGGGCCGGAACACCCGTATCGAACGTAATCGCGGCCCAGGTAGGACATAATTTACGGTACGGCCCGAGATTCTTTACGGTACGGCCCAGGCTTCCATAGAACGATTTGAAAGCTTTTCGCCCTAACCGTGTGCACCGCTTTAAAAAATTCGAATACAGAATTCGGACCTTGGAATTGATGTTGCTGCATTTTTTTTGTTTAGGGAAACCAAATTTTAGCTCATTTCGCATTGAAAGGAAATATAACACTGTGTATTCCGCATCACCCTCGGTCCCAGCCTTCCTGCGGATCGGATCTCCCTCCGGCCTTCGGTGGATCCGAAACGCGGTCGGGCTGATACCTCGGGCGATAGGGAATACACCGTGTATATATATCATCATATATATTGTATTACTTGTATAACACAGGTGAAGCCTCACTGTTTTCCCCTTTAGTGGGGAAGGCAGTACTGATGGGCTATGGAATTCCTGATTCCTGAATACTATGGAAAAAGGAAAACAAAAGATTTTGCCCAATTTTATATGGACTAAAATTATATTGGAATCTTGAGGAAAACAAAAGATGTGGTAAATCAGATTTGAAAGCCTGCACTTACTGAAAATCACAAAGTCATGACTGTTTTTATATAATATATACATAGT